GACAACTCACCCTCATAGAAGTCATCAGCACATAGTGTCAAGCCCGACTCCACTGGTATCTTTTTCTCTTTGGCTAGCGCGATAAGATTATTTCGGAGTTCCTCGTCCAAGTGCGTATCACGTTCTATCTGAAACAATCAGCCCAATAGAGCAGAGACGAACCCGAAATCGGAAAACGGAACTGTGATTTCGTGATTTAACTATTAGTGGCATTCGATCCTGATGTTTCAGCTTATTTTATCTGTATGGGACGCGGTTACTTGCTAGGGTTTCAGCAGCCGTTAAAAACGAGGCTCTGCCGTAATGCATCATCATCGGTCATCCCAGACAGGTGTTCGAATACACGGTCGCCTCTGCCAGGGAAATAACTCCGTCACGGGTTTTAACAGCTTTCTGGGCCTAGAGCTTTACTTCCTGGAGGAAATATTAGCTACACAAAGGGGTCGCAGAGTGCAGAGTTGGCACAGCCCCTCTCCTGCTGAGCGCAGTTTTCACACAATTGCTACTTTTTGTGGCACTCTTAAGAGTAGTCTCAGCAGACTAATCTTTATGCTGTTATTTTCACGAAACATAAGTCTTCTAAGAAAACTGCAAACACAACCCGCTTTTAGAATCGCCCAACGGATGGTTGACTCCGGTCGGAAGTAGACGTAATACAGGACATGCGAAAACTATGGGGGCGGGGACGAGAATGGTGGAAGTAGGGTTAACTGTTCGTTCGAACTATTCGAACGAGGGGATCGCCTTTGCGAAATTCGGAGGGGGGTCGCATCAAGGGTTGAGAAAAGTTAACCATGTTTCGGGAAGTGCAAATGAGGACTCGTTTTTGTACGCGGCAAAAACCTTGGCGTAAACTTTGTAGTTCACTTCGGTGAAAACTAGACTTATTTACTTATTCTACCTTACTTACTTAAGCATATTTACCTCCCTCCCCCATAGGAGGGCGAGGTTCGGGGGAGTAACTAAGCGACAGTTTTAGGGAAGAGTAGCGGAGCTAGGCCGTGTCGACTTGCCTGAGAAATGCTACAGAAACATCCATGATGGGGAGAGTGAGGAGACCACTTTTCGC